AATATTCATCTGAATACTTGTGGGAGATATACTGCAGACTGTTCTCTTCTTCTGTAGCATCTCTTCTCCAGCATTTCCCTATAAACCCTGGCCACCTTGGCTTTGCTAGACTTCCAGCTCCTTTTTTTCAACTCAGGAAATCCACTGGACTGTACCCAAGTTCCTCACAGCCTCGACCTTCTTGCACTATGGTTTGAAAACATCCAAGCAGTAAGCTCAAAAAAATGTAGTGCTCACCTCATTTCTTCTAGAGCTCAAAAAATTAATAAATTTATAAATGTCAAATGAATATGACACATGCTATATTTCTTCAACCTTTGTGAATATGGTTAACATTGTAAATAATAGAATTTTGTGTTTGTTTACATGTGTTTAAAAATATTGTTTGATTATGCTTTTCATCTTTTCCCAACTATATTGTAATCTCTTAAAGAATTATAATTGTATTATAATGTATACACAATTACTTGAACTTATAAATAAAATTGTTTTAGTTCCTACATTGTAACTATTTTAATTGAATGAAAATAAGTTTTTCTAAAATGTTTTTGCACATTGAAAATATACTATTGTATTTGTTTTTTACTGTCCATTTGCCAATTAAATTAGTTTAACTGACATAATGCAAAAGTAACATTCATACAGCCCCTGTCAAATTATAATTGGTGGAAGCAGAAATAGTATTTTCCTGTTGTTAATATTAGAATTTATAAGATGGAAAAAATCTTCGAAATATTTGAGTTTGAAATGTGAAATTTTATAGGTCGATTGGAAAATAGCCTCATGAAGAATTGCTGTATAAAAATATTGAAGGGTCATAGGAAATAAGGATTCTTGTATGTTATTGAGAAATACTGAAGACATACAGCTTTCTGATAAACAATTCACAATATGTAGTTTTATTTGCAGACCCCGGCTAGGAAAAGGAACTCATAACTGAGAAGCAGATGGAGCAGCAGAAGCTGCTAGAGGCAGTGAATGTGCTTCATAGAGAGTCCAGTGCTGTCTGAGGCTGGGTCACTACCCAGCACAGCAGGAGTCACTCCAGACACTTGGGGAGTGACCAGGTACTTGCAGGTCATCTCAGGTCAAGCATAGTCTAGTTTACAGCCTGCCACCACCATCTAAGAAAGAGTCTCTTCCAGGAATCAGCTACGCTGCTGACTCGCTGTTTTAAAGTATACTTCAGAGATCATTCATCAAAACAATGTCCTCATACAGAAACTCAATACAACGAAACAGCAAAAATCCTTTAAAATTTGCTGAAAATGCATTTGACAGGTGATCCAAAGATGAAACATTTTAAAAGTATAAAAACAGAAAATTGCTTTAGAGATGTTTTCCAGTGACTTCTTTCATGATAGCATTCTCTAACACCTTACCTGTGATCGATTTAAGATCTCATGTAAACTTTTAATGACTAACGCTTTAAAACATATCCACCAAGTAATCCTCCTTGAATATTTTCCTTACATCTTGGTTCTCCTTGATTTTATGATATCTTAGATTTAACACCAACTCTAACTTCTGAAAGAGGAGGCACCTACTGTGAGGGTAAGGGTCTTTAACTAGTGGTGAAGGAGAGTTAGAATTCTAGACCCCTAAACCATGTGACTTAAAATTGCTGCATATTCACAGATGAAGTTTTCATCCTATAAAGTGCCCTTCAATGTTAGTGGGCTCAAGGGCAGGAAATCACACTTTCCTCTCCTAGAATTGACACAAAGCATTTGCCTTTACCAACTAAGCTGTTTAAGCTGTTATGTGCTTAAAAAGTGCACATAAACATCACAGCAAGTTCATTTCATACACATATACATACAAGTTCATTTTTAAGATTCTAACTTTCTTGTATATACTGTCAACAAAACAAATTTCACATAGTATTAAACCTTCGGGAGAAACACACTTCAACCCTAACCTTTATGTCAAAACCAGTTATTGTTTTGAAGTTATAACTCATTTCGATTTTTAAATATTTACCCTTAGACAGAATTTCTTCAAAGTCTAACTAGTCTTATTTCTATCCTCCTTTGTGTCATGAACTGTAGCTCAAATCTTCAAATTGCAGTAGATGTAGTGAAGATGTAAATAAAAATATATTTAAATGTAAATAATTAAACCGATTTGAGCCTTTCTGAGTAGACTGAACCTAAAAGAAGATGAATGAGTCAGTCTTTTTAAAATCAATTTGATTGGCCATCATATTCAGCAGCAGTAGGCAGAGGACTCACCAGAACAATGGGCAGGTCATTTACCCCGAGGGAGGAGAGCAGACCGACCTGATTGAGTAAGAAGTTTACAACACTTTCAGGACTTCCCATGGTCTTCAGACTAACGGTGTCTAGGCTAGGATTTATGCCCCTACCCCCATCTCATGCCATACTTCCTTATATTCTCTAGCTATATGAAGAGCTCTTTCGCAATTCCTTAAATGTGCCAAGCCCTTTCTTGTATGTTAATTTTCCAGAAACCTTCTATACCAAACCCTCCCCTTCTCACCTAAGATTGACGTCCTTTGGGTCTCAGCTGAGCCATCACCTTCTTAAAGAAGCCATCTCTAATTACCTCTATCCCCCATTGTCTCACAGACGCAGTCACGCATGCACAACACAAGCATGCACACGTGTCTTATCTACACACCAGATTAAGTTAAACTCCGAAGCTCTTGCTCCCCTTGATAATGGTCACTTTTTTTTTTTTTCTTCAGACAGGGCCTTGCTCTGTCGCCCAGGCTGGAGTGCAGTGGCAAGAGGCAAGAACATGGCTCACTGCAGCCTCAAGTTCCTAGGCTCAAGGGATCCTCTTACCTCAGCCTCCCAAGTAGCTGGGACCACAGGTACACACCACCGCATCCAGCTAATTGTTTTTTTGTTTTTATTTTTTGCAGAGATGGGGTTTTGCCATGTTGCCCAGGCTGGTCTCAAATTCCTGAGCTCAAGCAATTTGCCCACCTTGGCCTCCCAAAGTGCTAGGATTACAGATACTTCTCTTTCTTTAGCCTCATAGAATTTGTCATTCTTGTTTAGTGTCTGTTTTCCTCACAAGGTTGTAGCACCATGGGGGCAGAAGTTAGTGAGTCTTATTCTCAGTTGAATTCATAGCAGAACATTTGTCACACAGTGACTGCGAGGAACACACAGAAGGAAGGAAGAAAAGAAGAGAGAAAAAAAGGAAGGAAGAAAAAATAGAAGAAAGAAGAAAGGAAAGAAAGAAAGAGAAAAGAAAGAAGGAGAAGGGAGAGGGGGAGGGAGGAAAGAAGGAAGGAAGGAAGGAAGGAAGGAAGGAAGGAAGGAAGGAAGGAAGGAAGGACCTATAGATAATTGTAAAGTCTCTATCCTAGTGGATTTGAAAGCATGTAAACAAGACATTCTCTGGTGTGGCTGGCAAGACCCTACTGTACCTCAAAGTGCCTTTAGTTCTGGGTCAGGTTAAGTCAGCTATATCTTCAACAACCTTTGACCTGTTGAAAATGCAGCTCATGTGAGTTCAGTGGGAAGATTCTAGAGAGGAACTACACTGCTTAGGTCAGCTAAGTGAAGAGCACATTTATCTCAGTTGATCTCAGGTAACCAAGGGTGAGCTATGGGCACCGATGCTTGCCCAATCCTTTCTCTGTGAGAAGCAAGCAACAAAATGCTTCTTTGGCAGAGATTGCATCTTGATATTCCACAAACTTCAGGGTACCACTCTCTGCAGAAAAGAATAAATCCATTCCCTGACAAACATAGCCTTAACATTCTCTTCAGCTTGACTAAACTTTAGACAGGTTTCTTCCTGAGTACTGGCCCCTGACATCTTTTTTCTAAGAGCATTTACGTTGAAAAACCTAAAACTGTAAATTATTTCTCTGCCTTGTTGAGATGTAGATCCTTTAGCTGCTTGCTAATTCAGAACCCAGGTGTGTCTTACTGAAGGACAAGAATCTGACAGCCATCCCTTGACAGGTAATCATCAAGAATAGTGGCAAACCCCTCCCTCCCAGTTTCTGGGGGATGGTAGGAGCCTAATGTGACAATTAACAAACACAGATGCCTAATCACATGGGCCAACCTCGTGTCAATGGCCCTCCAGTACTTTTCCACTAGCTCGCGCTGGACTTAAAAACCTTCCCATCTTTTATTTTAGCAGAGTTGTGTTCAATGTCTCTCATCTATTATAATAGCCTTGAACAAAGTCTTCTTTGCCTATTTAGCTTTGCCTGGTTCAATTTGTCTTTGATACCCTCGTAGGCCTGGCTCACATGTGCACCTGAATTAAACAGGGGCTACATCACTCCTGGTAGATGGGAATGTTCTAGAAGGTGATTGCATTTCAAAAATTCTATCTCACTGAATAAAATGTTGGTGAACTCCCATTTAGTGAGAAGGAGAATTCTTTTTATACTTGGAGGTGAGATTGTTTTTTTTTTAATGCTGCTATTTTGAAATAACATTAGAAAAAAGAAAATATCTGGCTTTGTCTATGGGAGGCACAATTGAATGATGTCCCAGAAGGAAAAACTGTGGTTGGCATGTTTCAGAGCTATATCAGTTTTCTACTCCATATAATGTAGCTCACGTAATGGTCTTGATTGCAATGTTGAAACCTTGTTGAGCTCTTATTGTGAAGATCAGCCTCTGAGGTGCCTAGATTTTATTTTCTTCTGGTTTGGAGAGTGGCTGATAGGCTTTGTGGCTGAACATCTTCCCTCTCAGTAAAAGTGAATAGCACAGAATCTGATGACTAGTGAATACTCATTGAACTTTAATTGTTAAGTGTTGCTGTCATCATCTCATCATCACTTTCACAATTGCAAAAAACAAACAAAGAAATAAACAGGAAATTATGCTTTCAAAACTTTCTACTCTCTACCAAAAAAAAAATAGTTGATGGATAGTAATGCTGGCTTAAAATAGACTGTAGCCTTTGCTGGATTGCTTCATTCATACATAACTCTGAGCTCTATTTGTGAGATGTTTGTCTTTCTCTCTCCCCACCCCAATCCCTGCATTTTTCAGTGATGGATGGGCAGACAGAGATGAAGTCATTGAAGGTTATGAGATGGAAGCCAACGGGGGAATCACGATAAAGCTACAGTCTCCAGAGGTCACATCATTTGATGATTATTTCCTGAAACTGAGGCTGGACACTAATACGAGGAATCCCTGGTTCCCTGAGTTCTGGCAACATCGGTTCCAGTGTCGTCTACCAGGACACATTCTGGAAAATCCCAACTTTAAAAGAATCTGCACAGGTAACTTGTCTTCACAAAATAACAACTCAGAGGCTTTTTCCTCTCTTCTAGATTTATTGCAGCTTGATAAATGAGAATAGAAGGTGCCAGGGCTAGAGATCCAAAGAGAAAATTGTCATCTGTGTTTATAAAATCCTAGAATGAGAAGGAAGTATGTATTACCCCAGGAATTCATGGATATCTGGAAAGACAACTTTGGTCTCTGTTGGAGCAAGTGCTAAGAGATAACAAAAGTAAAGGAAAAGCAAACTGAGGAGTCAGGTATCTAGTATTCAAGCCAGATAAAAAAGATTTTATTACAAACATGGTTAGGAGACCTTAGCCATAGATGTAAGTCAGCAGTACTGGTTAGATTCTCTTTTTTTTTTCTTTGTGGCTTATTTAGATACAGAAATCAGGAGAAGATGAGGTAATGTGACCCCAGGCCACACCACCAACATGGGTATTGGTGGGCATAGGGGCCAAGAAACTGCACTCTGATCTTTCAGTCAGAACAATGGTTCACAGCCAGACAAAAAAGTACCAGGCACTACTCACTGATGCCGTGCCAGGAAACTGCAGCACGTGGCTTCAAGTCTTTCAAGTGCGCGATAAAATCCACAGGATGTCCTCCTTGCAACCCCTCGTACTACCATAACTCAGATTCTGAAGACTGTAACTTTTATGAGTGTTATTATTATTGCATAGGGACATTGCTGCTCCCTGTCCTTTTTCAGTATTTTCTATGCTGTCAAGATAAATCATCTATGTCCTTTCATAATGCCATTGAAAGCCAGTTGTTCATGCTGGGTCGATAACATAGAATAATGGAGCACTTATGATAATGGGTGATGGAATCTAACCATGACCTAATTTGTATTGTAGAACAGTGGTGTGACATGTATATTCTGTACGTAGGCTGAGCAGATATGATTTACAAAGGTATAGAATCATATTACACCCATGTATAAAACTCTATATATAGCAAAAAAAAAAAAAGGTTAGAGAAACATATAATCCATGACTTTTGACATAGAGAGGCTTGCCATCTCTTTGGGCAAATCAAAACAGATCACACACGGGAAACAGATAAATAACAATAGAGGACACTTGGTTTTTACAGAGGGTGGTAAGAATATGGCTAATTACATAGAATATTTCTATTTTCAATAGTATTCATATTTTGATGTTAGAAAATGCTTTTAGATACCAATATATGTAAATGTATTGATGTATGTTTGACTTTATAAGGCTCAGCAGAGTTCAGTGGGAAATGCGCTGGCATGGATCTATTTTCAAACAAGGAAGTTTCAGTGTTTTAGAACTTCCTCAGTGTGGCTTCTAGGAAGGCTGACAAAGGCAGGAGAAAGGGGAGACATGGCTCAACAGTAACCCACCTCTGCCACATAGGTGTTTCCACTTTCTCTGAAATAGACATCTCCTTTCTCTGAAATAATAGACACACCAAGAATAAGGATTCGAATGGACCAATAAATCATCCAGGACAGTCTTCTTATTTGCAAAACAGAGATGATGAAGGTGAACAGGGAAAACAGTTTCTGTAGGCTCATAAGGTTAATAGCAGCAAAGAAAGGAAAGCCCACACCTCCTAGACACCGTAGTACCTACTTTTAGGCTTAGCATTTGGTAATACATTATCTCTTACTGCTTTCTAACCGTTTCCTAAAGCATGTTTACCATTTTCAACTGTAAGCTTTTTGTAGTCAAAGCATCCTTACTTCCTTCATAGAACCCTGGTACAACATTGATCTCTGGGAGCTCAGTCAATTCTTGTTAGCTAATTGATTAGTTAATTTACATTTTCATTCAGGATAGGGTGAAGGGCCCAAGGAGAAGAGCAGTGAGGAGCCTACTGAAAAAGCAGGTGGGGGTGGTTAATTGGGCATGGCAGTGGCAAGCAAGGTGGACATGTTAAGTGAAAGTTGAGATTTGCTGACAGAATTGTCAAGAATAACTATAATCTGAGCAACTTGAAACATGATGTCACCATTGACTGAGACAGGGGAAGACTTCAGGAAAAGAAGATTAGGGAAAGTCCAAGAGGCTGATTTTGGATAAAGTACGTTTGAGTTATCCATTGGTGATCCAACTATAGATGTCATTTTGTCATTGTTTTTTATTAGTAACATTCAGGATACCACTTATAGACATGCTTGGATCACTTATATAAGGATTTCTAGGAAAATATTTTGATACCTGAGCTCTTAAAACAAGTTAAAACTCTGCAACGATGTACACTAATATTTTGGGTTTTCAATTTTCACAGTACATAAAATGTCAAGGTTAGAGCTTAAAACTGGGTTAGCATGTTCACAGCAAGAAAAAAAAATTTAAAAATCTTGATTTATTCTTATACTTTGCTTGAATCTCATAGCTATGTTTTCTCATGTAATTACAATCTTTGTGAAATGTTTATATTTGCATTTTATTCTGGAGTCAAATTCAGCAAATATTTCCCTTTTTTAGGTCTAAGGGAGACAGGAGGCTTATTTAACTTTTCAATTTGGAATTAATTCATAAAACTTATTTATCTTTTCTGTAGAAAAATTCTTATAATTTTATCTTTAGAAGTGTTTATCCATATTATTTATGTTGTATAAATTCATGTACAGCTACCTTGTTCCTCCTTTTTAATCTTTATATTTCTGTGAAGTTGGCTTCAATGTTATTGAAGAACAATAAACTCTCACTTCATGTATTATTTTTATCCATTTGAGATCCTTGAATATAAAATGAATTCCATAATCTTCTAACGAATATGCAGACACATTTATGAATATTAGTGTGAGGAAGTAGAATTAACCTTTCCATGCTATTGATAGCTACTGTTTCTGTCACTCATTTTTACCTCTTCTAATCGGGTCACTTCTGGTGGTTTGGAAAGTTTTGATATTGCCATTAGTTTCCATAGAAACCATCATTGAACTTAATCCCAGATGTCACAATTTAAATAAAGAGTTTATGTGCACTAGATTGCCAGTTTGAATATTAAAGGTCCTGAGCCCAGGCCGAGTAGTTTAGGAATCACTGTGGCTAATTAAAAAGTATTTCATGTAAACTACACATCACTGCTTAATTAGTTGACTATATCAAAGTATTGAAGATGTGTTGGAAAAGCTCTAACTGAACATCAAAGCCTAACTTCTCAAAAATTAATCATTGTAGGACAATAGAAAGAGGCGTAAAGCAAATCAGAGTCACTCTCTTCCAGTAAATGTCTTAGCTGCTTACAGGATTTGTATCATGTTTGCAATGGCATAGTACTTTTTCATTCCTGATGAGAATCATTAGAAAGATTTCATAGAAACTGATAGGATGTAGCATTTGGAAGCACTATTACTGGGTCCAATACCAGTTCAGTTATGTATCAGCCGTATGATTTGGATGACCTCACTTAACCTCCGAACCTCAGTTTTGGTAACATGAAAACGATATTTAGCTTACACAGAATTCTACATGAATTGAATGAAATAACACAACTGAACTACTTTACAATAAAATAATACAAGTAAAATACTTTGCAAACTGAAAATGGCATAAATGTAAAAGTTACTACCAGTGTCATGTCTCACTAGAAAACAGGTTATAACATAGATCATTTCATAAAAATTATTTATTTTGTAATTATAAGTTTAACTAGGATGTGGAAACTAGAAAAACCAAGGCAAAAATCTTTAATCGATCACCCTTACACAATGTCAATATAGAGGTTTTTCTTACATTTTCCCATGCAGTCTTTTATAATTTCTGATGATGAAAGTAATACATGCTTAATGTACTATTGCATATACCTGGAAATATACAGAAGCATGAGAAAGATGAATAGAATTAAGAATTTGCTCTTATCTAACCATCATTGGTCACTGTTAAATTTTTGGCATGCTTTCATCTTTCTCTATATAGTTTTAAATTATGTATTAATATTATTTTATATATTGCTTTATTAAAAGAAATATTGCTCTGTTTTATACATTGATAAATTTCTCTGTCATTAAATTCTTTTATTCTTAATGGCTGCTTAACATTTTGCATTCAGATAAGCTATAATTTAGGCATTTCATTCTTCCTATTTAGGTTGTTTTTAGTTATTCACAATTTTTTAAAATGTTGCAGTGATATAATAAAAATTTTTCATCCTAAATTTTTTTATATTTTAAATAATTTTCTTAGGTTGCAGTTCTAGAAGTTAAATTTCTAGAAGCTCAACCAAAAGATATAAGCATTTTTGTCTGGGCATGGTGGCTCATGCCTGTAATCTCAGCACTTTGGGAGGCTAAGTTGGGCAGATGGCTTAAGGTCAGTTCGAGACCAACCTGGCCACCATGGTGAAACCTTGTCTTTACTAAAAATACACAAGTTAGCCAAGACGACGACAGGCACTTGTAATCCCTGCTACTTTGGAAGCTGAGGCAGGAAAATTGCTTGAACCTAGGAGGTAGAGGTTGCAGTGAGCTGAGATCACGCCACTGCACTCCAGCCTGAGTGATGAGCAAGACTCTGTCTCAAAACAGAAAACAAGCAAAAAAAGATACGAACATTTTTAACCCTTCGAAAAGGAGTTCCAAAAGGCAACTCCTACTAATGCTTCATAAAACTCTATGCATTCTTTTCCGTAATTATCATCACAGTGTGCATACAATTCTGTTTCTTATTTCACTTAGGATTACATTTTACGTAGTTTTGATGTTGCTGCATGACCTTTATAACCACCATTTTAATAACTCCATAATATTCTATCCAGTTAAAATACTATAATTACTAGCCGTTCTTTTGTTGGATATTTAGACGGCTTTTAATTTTCCTTCATACATTAAAAAACACACTGAATATGGTACACAGAGTTTTCAGTGTTGTTGTTACTATTTTTGGATTGTTCCTTTATAGCAGATTCCTAAACATATAATTATTAGTTAATAACTTGATAAATTCCCTTAAAAATATATACTGCATTTTCTTGCAATATGGCAATATTTGCATATTTAATATTTGCTATGGCTAGC